TCCCATCTCCATCCTGTGCTTGCTGCACACCCTCCTGAGTGACCTCTGAGCATTGGTTTCCCTAAAAAGTGGAGCTGTCACTACAACCGTATGGCTTTGTTTCTAACTTACAGGAGGAAACACATGTTGTGTATGTTGTGGAAAACAGTGCCTGGCACCCAGTAAGTGCTTAGTGAAACTTCAACTGGGGGAAAAGATCGTCCAGCTCCATCCTAAGAGCAGTTTATTTCTTCTTCCTTATTTATTTGCTGCAATAAGTCCCTACTTTCCTGTCTTCAGGGAAAACACCCTAGGAAAGGGTGGAAAAAGTGGAAGGGGGATGCTGGATTCTTGGCCCCCGTGCCTGAGACAGAGCACGCATCGTAAGGATTGGAGATCAGAGATTTCCTGTCTTTTGCATCTAGGGAACCACAAACCATAGGCTCGTTAATTCTGTTGTCTTCCTCCTGCTTTGCTCTTCTTTCTCGTGCTTTACAGACTAAACTGGCAAAGTTGGTGAGGAAGTTATAGGGTGAGTTGTTTTTCTGTGAATGTAGGCCCGCACACCTCTAATGCCTTGATACTTACGCTCTCCATTTTTGGAGACGTTGGTGCACCTGGTGCCTCCTGAGACCTTGGCCCCGGTGAGAAGAAATCACTGTCCGAGCCCTGCCTATCCCTTCTCCTAGCGTCTAGTCTAGCACCGTGGCTGGCACACCGCAGGTGTTCAGGAAGTGGTTGTGATTCAGTGAATGAATTCATGGATCTCTCTTCTCTTATCAGTCACTCTGGAGGGAAGCGACTGCCGAGTTCCCCCTGGGGATCGTGTATCTTGACAGAGGGGTGGAAAATCCCTCTTTCTCTCAGTTCAGCTAAGATCATGTTTTTCAGAAGTACTCGTTCCTTGTAAACCCAGTGCAAGCAGAATAAACACCGAGTAGAGAAACAGGTTGGAGATTTTGTGGTATGACTCAGCGGCAGTCTGCTCTCCGATGGCTGGGCCAGCTTTGGCCTTTCCTCCCCGCTTTTCTCTCTGAGTTGAATTCTCAGGCTGCCAGGCTGAGGAGGGTTTGCGTTGGCAGGTTCTCTGCTTGTGGGGTTCTCCGTTCCCTAGGACTGCCTGCTTCCTGACATCACACCCTTGATGGGAACTCACTCCCAGAATTCCTTCTCAGCTGCATCTCGTGGTAACCTTGGGGGTGGTTCTTGTTAATTACAAATTTTTAAAAATTTAAATTTAAAAATTTAAAAATTTGATTTTAAAAATTTAATAGGACTTTGTTCACAGGGTACGAAACATTTATATAGTGAGTTGTACCTTGAAGAATCTCCCTCTCCTGTACCCCAGAAACCCAGTTCTCATTCAAGCCCCCACAAAGATAATTATTATAACAGCAATTTAGTGCACTTTCTCCCAGACCTTCCTTAGGCATATGTAAGGAACATCGATATGGAAAAGCAGCTGGGGATATTCAACAGTTCATAGGAGGTCCACAGACTGGGTTGATCTGTAGGAGAATATCCCCTAACTTCAGGGAATAAAGTTTGCTAAAGTGTTTTGTTGCCCCACCAAATTTCCAGCAACAACTTCTGCTTCCTCCGTGTCCTTACTTGGGGAGATGGAGAAGAGGAGACCAAACCCAGTATTTATATATAATCCTCTATGTAATTTTTTAAATGCATACATGCTTCATGGTTTAAAAATCAAGGTGCTATTTTAGTTCAAAGGGCCTGTTGGAAACCAAATCACATCGCTCTTGCAGAACAGCAAGTGAAGAGAGCAGATTTGACAACTGAGTTCATTGGTATTCTGTAAATAAAAATATATATATTCTTCCTTTTCTCTTATCTTTTCACAAGGTAGCGTATTATACACACTATTCTGTATCCTGCATTTAAAAATTTTTTTTTACATTTATTTATTTTTGGTAGAGAGAAACAGAGCACAAGTGGGGGAGGGGCAGAGAGAGAAGGAGACACAGAATCCGAGGCAGGCTCCAGGCTCCAAGCTGTGAGCACAGAGCACAATGTGGGGCTCGAACTCCCAAACCACGAGATCATGACCTGAGCCAAAGTCAGAAGCTTAACCGACTGAGCCACCCAGGCGCCCCTGTATCCTGCATTTTTAAAAAATTAATTTTTGTATCATTAGAGTTCTTCCCTCTCTCTGTCTCTAACAATTGCATAAAATTCCATTGTATGAATGAACCACAATTTTTTATGAGCACTATTGGTGCCCATTTTTATTGATTCTTGTATTTTCCTGCAGCAAAAACTCTGTACACATATGCAGTGACCTTGTGTAATGCATAGCATGCCCAGAAGTCCGACAGGTTTTGTAAGGGACAGAGCAACTTACTGACACGCCTACCCGGGATAACAGAATGTTGGCTTCAGTGATCCGATGGGGTCAGTTCTGTTCAGCTAAGTCTAACAATAATACCTAGTGGACAGGGTTTTAAACTCAGGATAGATGAAAGGACAAGTGTCTCATTCTCTTACCATACCTGGTTATAACTGGTCCATGGTGCTTTAAGTATATAAAGTGGGTTGTTGTTCACATTCCTGTGCTGGTTCCCTCTCGGTAAAGGACTGAGGATCACCCTCATCAGTGCGTGGGAAGCTGCTCTCTGTGCTCTGTGGCTTGTTCCCATCCATCACCCTCCCATCGCTCCTGGTGCGGCTGCTCGTAGCTTCAGAGTCCTTTCTTCTGTGCCTCTGTGCCTTTGTCTTGGTGGTTATGTCATGTTCACTCCTTAGCCTCTGCTCCTTTATCAGCTGATTTCTACCCCACGCTTTGTGTTCCCTTAACGCTCTACAGAATTCTGGCTGTGGCCATGGCTTGCTGCAGCCCTCGCCTTACCATAAGGTGCTGTATCTCCCCCTCACTGGAGGCCCCAGCCTTTCTGCATGTCCTGATAGGTAGGGGAAGATACTTCTTGGATTCCTCACTTGGGTAACATCAGGATGCACTCAGAGTACCATTGTGAAATGTCCCTGGGCAGTCATCGCCTGTTTAACCATGTCTAGCCTCCATTAACAACTGTTACATTTGCATAGGTCCCTCCTCCAACGTGCTCCAGCAGGGTTTTCCACTGTTGTTGACCTTGAAGGACTACCCTTACCCCTGACCTCTTTCTCCTTCCATTTTACCCAAAGCATCTTCATGAGCACAGAGTTTCCCAGCACAGATTCCTCAGAACGCCAATTCCATAGCGTATTATTTGGTCTCAGAGCCGTGTCAGCCCCTCAGCATTATGGGTACCTGAGATGTGTGTGGGAAACTTCATTTGAGGTAGCCCATTATTAGGACTTGCTTTTCTAAGTCCTTTTGAGGAAGCCTGGCTTCTTCACCTATGGTTTTGAGGCTTCCCAGTGGCCATGAAGACTTCCCGGTGGCCAGCAGTCAGAAGCAGCCTCTCTGACTCTTCCTGTTTGAGAGCCCCCATCTGGGGCTGCCCGCCAGGTTTCTGTTTTCTGTCTGGGAGACACTTCTAGCCTCCAAGAGCAGCGATGAGCAACCTGCCCTCAGCCTCCTGACTGATGAAGGTTCCCCTGTTTCTGTCAGACCTGCCCACCATCTAGGAGAGCTCCTGGGTTGTGTTGATGGGGCAGCCTTCCAGGAGACTGCCATTAAATTGGATCTCAAGATGCGGTATCCACACAGGCACATTGTCTGTCTTGGGAAAAAGAAGGTATTTTCCGTGTGCCACCCGTGTTTGCAGCTTTCCAGGGCTCTTTCTGGTGTGAGAATTGAGATCATGGGTGTCTCTTTCTCTTTTTTGATCCCGTTGCATCGATGATCTGAACATAATGATACCTCACTGTCACTTCCTGTTTCTCCAGGACACGGAGAACATGTGGGAACACATTTTGGGGGCGGGGGAGTTGATATCCAGCGGGGGTTGTCAGAAGGCTGAGCCTTTGCTCCTTAATGACTGTGGCTGGTGGGGTGAAACAATTTGAAGTCAATGAGGAGTGTACCCTCTAGGGAGCACGTTGGATTCGGAAAGCCAGTTACTCATGTTTTTAGATTCATTGCCTTATTTGGATCAAGTTAAAGAAAGATCAGTAGGGCGGTCCCATGATTTGTCACAAGGAGATGGGGACCTGGTGCCAACACCTCTATTTTTAAAATTCTGTTTTAGCTCTAAAGACTCTTTGAAATTATCCTGCGAGTGTATTCATTAACACACTATCGATCCATACCACCGAGACATCATCTGTCTTGGTTGTTCACTTCCGTCCACCTGGTGCTGGCCCAGTGTCTGGCACGTCAAGGGAAGCTCAATAAACTGGATAAATAAAATCTGTTGTCCCTGTTGTAGTCCCCTTTGAACGACTGCCTCAGTCACTTGGGGGGGGGGTGGTGGTAAGACCATCCAAACTATGGCACCGTGTTGAATGTCTCTGATGGATTTGGAGGAGAGACGGAGTGGGATTGTGGGGAAAGATGTTGAATTTGCAGAAGGCCTGGGTTTGAATCTTCACTCTGCCACTGGGGGCCTCTCTGAGCCTCTGTTTCTTTATTTATATTGGAGGATAGTAATTGCCCTCCTCTCACACATACTTTACAGTTCTTCAATCCTTGACTGAAGAAGGCATGAAAAATGTTTTAAACCATAAAGTCTACAAATATGGAAGATTATAAAATGATGGTCTTTCTCTCTTTCCTTTTCTTTCTTTTTTTTTTTTTTTTTTTTTTTGCTTCCCATGAAGCCAGAGTCCCCTAGCTTGCTTCTGCCAACTCTATTAGAATTAGAATCTCCCGCGACTGCCCTCTGGCGATGGTTGTCTTTGTAGAGCGAACTAAGGAACAGATACCCTTTTAGGACTTCCATTGCCTGAATCCCATAATAACTTTGGTGCAGAGGTATTATTAGAGCCTAGCACACTCCTTTCTTAGACCTGGCCTTGGCCCCTATGCCACTGGGGAGCACTCTATCGTTGTATGTGTCTGTGAGTTAGGCACCGGGAGCTCTACTATCATGGGCTGCTTGATGGTGTTTCTCTCTCCCCAGGAGGCTGCTGAAGAGTGAACTTGGATCATTCATTACAGACTATTTCCAGGTAAGTTGTGTGAGTCTGAGTATCTGTCATTACAGTGCACATGGATACATGCACCTAAAGGGATGGCCAATACCATACACCTGGGCATTCCTTCAACATCCAAGATTACATATGCCGAGTCCCTGATAATGCACAGGGCCAGTGTGGTCCCTGCTTTTATGGAGATTACAGTCTTGGGCAGTGGTTCTCAGGCTTCTTGGTCATCCTTACACTCTTAAAAATGATCGGTTATTTGGGTTATCTCTGTCTTCACCGTATTGGAAACTGAACCTGAGAAACTTAAAAATATTTAAGTCATTTAAATAATAAACCTATTACATGTTAGTCTAAATAACATTTTAGTGAAAAATAACTTTTCAGAATAAAAAAAAATAGAAGAGAGGCATTATTTTACGTTTGCAAATCTCTGCACCATCTGGCCTCATAGAAGATAGCCGGATGGATCCTCCTGTCTGTTTCCCATTCAGTCTGTTGTGACATTGCGCATCATGTGGTCTCTGGAAACCTGCACGGTACACTGATGGAAGATGCAAGGAAAAGGGCAAATTGTGGCTTAGTGTCGTTAAGGAACTAGTTTCGACCCTGTGGAAAAGGTCTGGGGATATGGGACCTCAGACCACACTGTGGGAACTGCTCCTCTAGCAACATTCCCTCTCACCCCCCGGGGATGGCATCTAATTCCGTGTAACTGTATGTACCCTTCAGCCAAGTGACTTCTTGTCGCTAAGCCTCCTAGTCTGTTCTGTTAAAGATGATTGGATCCGGCGATCTGACACCCCTCCTGAGCCCAAACACTCTTGTTATGAGGCTAATGAACTCAAGGTTCCAGACTCCCTTAGAGGATGGTTTATTTTTCTTTATGCATTTTGAGAGCGAGAGTGTTGTGTGTGCATGAGCAGGGGAAGGGCAGAGAGAGAGGGAGAGAGAGAATCCCGAGGAGGCTCCGTGCTGTCAGCGCAGAGCCTGACCTGCGGCTTGAACTCATGAACTGTGAGATGCTAACCTGAGCTGAGATCAAGAGTCAGAAGCTTAACCAATTGAGCCACCCAGATGCCCCTCAGAGGATAGTTTCTAATCGACTGACACAAGTTGTTTTCCTGACTCCACCCACAGGCATGTGGGAGAGGGCATGGGGACGTTTGTTTGACAGTGAGTAATTGACTGAGTGATAGTTTGTTTGACAGTGAGTAATTGAGTGATACTTTAGTGAAGTCAGAGTTACTACTTTTCCCCGCTCATTAACTGAGTAGGTCTTGGGCAAGATGCCTCATTTTCCCCATCTGTAAAATGGGAACAAAAACATGACCTACCTTAGAGGTCGTTGTTGGTTTACGTGAAATAACACATGCAAAGCATTCAGCGCATAGTGTGGGTGTTGGGTGGGGGACAGAGTAGGGGAGTGGTCAAGATCGTGGCCTCTAAAGCCAGACTACCTGAGTTTAGTGCCCAGCATAGCCCATTACCACCTGTGTGACCTTGAGCAAGTTGCTTTACCTCTGTGTGTTTTAGTTTTCTGTTCTATAAAACCAGGGGTGTTAGGACCTAACCTTATAAGATTGTCGTGAAGACTAAATAAAGTGTTATTTGTCAAGTGCTCAGAACAGTGACTAGCACAGAGGAAGACAGAGTAACGCGGTTATTAAACTTAACTGTATGCATATTTGTTATTCTAAAGTGTCGTCCAACCCTTTTAATGGGAAACTAACATAAAAATACCTAACATCTTGGTTTCAGGTTGGTGGTGCTATTCTATACCCACGGAGAACATACTTTTATTTAAGACAGGTTAAAGAATTTTTAGATCTTAAAAACAATACTGACATTCAGAAAAAAAGAATTTTTTTTTTCTTCCTTACCAACATTCGGGAAGCTTAAATTTTTATGTGCACTTTTAAAGAATGACAGATGTTAGTCCTTTAACACACACACACACACACACACACACACACACACACACACACAGCAGAGAATGGCCACTATAAATATGGACAAAGCAAGACCCAACAGCAGGCTGGAATTCTATCGGGTCAGATGTCTCAGCTGCTTGAAAGAAAAAGCCCCTGTCCAGGGAGAGACAAACATAAAGATTAAGAAAGAGGTAATTAGTTACAAATGTGAATCATCTCAGTTGCCCTTGACTCAAAGGTCAGCCTTGTCCTCAGTCTCTTCTCTTGCTGTCTGTACTGATTGATTTTTAAATCCAACTACAGAGAAGTGGTTTTTCAATTGGTCCTGAAGAAACCTGCCAGGCCGGCAGCCTTCCTCGCTGACATTTAAAGTAGACAGAGTTTGGTGTGGTTTCAATCGGGTTTTAAATGTCAGTTGTCTTTTGGCACGGGGGGGCTACCCCTAGGATGGGTGGGGAAGGGCACTTGGGTGGGGACTTGTTTATCTGGGAAGCCCTGAGGTTTGGGGGGGTCGGTTAATGCTGCTTACAAAGTATGCCAGCCACTTAACTAATAACCACATGTCATTTTCCATCGAGAGCTTAATCAGAGAAACGGCTTGGTGAATATTGAGTCTCTTTCTGGGGGTGTGGGGTGGGAACTGGTTTTCACAGTTTTGAATCTTGGATTTTCCTTAGTACTAGACCGGAGAGAAAGCTATCGTGAACGCTATTTATTTAAATGTAGGTTTTAAGTCTCCTGTAGGTGCAGAGCCCTTTAAAAAAAAAAAAAAAAAAGGTGTTTGGCTCCCCAGTGCCTGGAAAGTACCTGGAACATAAGAGATGCCCAGTGAAGTTTCTTGGGAGAGAGGGAGAGGGAGGGGTTGTCTACCACAGATACAGGAGATGATATTAGGTGGTATGCACAATGACGTTAAGTAATACTGGTCTTCGTGGCTAGAATGTATTTTCCTTTCTTTTCCTTTCATGCTTCGGATTGTGCCCAGGGAGAGTGTCGCTTTGAGCCACTGTATCTTTGACACTCCTGCAGGACTTGGAGATCTCCCTTGTTTCAGAAAGAGAGAGCACGCCTCGAACTTAGTGTCTTCAGCTAGGAACACTGATTAGAATTTCATAAAATTTTTTTTCTTTGCCTCAAGTTGATGGTTGAGTTACAGTCTGTTTATGGCAAATGATGTTGCTATAGTTTCATTTTTAAAACATATTTATGTTTTAAAAAGTGGACTGATTTAAGAAAAATAGTATGCAAAAAATAACGGTTTAGGGGACCCTGGCGATGGCCAGATGGTGAAGGTGGTTCAAGAGAGAGTCAGGTTTGGAAAGCCCAATGCTGGGCACTGCTTGAAGGTGGGCTGGTTCCAAAGCCATGCAAGGAAGAACTGTCCATGAAGGAGGATGGAAGGGAGGAGGGAGGTCTAGGAGGGAGGGCTATAGAGACCAGCCTTCACATTCAACTAGCAGACGTGCTGTGAAGAAGGAAAAGTCTGAATGGGCTCCAGAAAGAACACGCCTCCAGCAAGGAGGAAGGAGGAAGTCCATGGACAAATAAGGAACAGAACATGAGGGTGGAGGTGAGACCCCAAAGGGAGAGGTCGATGAATGGGCTCTTTGGGCTCTGGGCTTTTCTGTGTGACATGAAGGATCGGGTGCCCCCTCCCTGCCATCTGCATTTAGCGATGAACTCACATCTCCTGGGACCCAGAGAGATCTCTTCTGGGTTGGGTTGGGTCGCATCTCTCCAACCCAGAGATCTCTACTTGCAGAACCTTCTCTGTGGCTCTGCTTTTGAAGGTGAGCATTCTCATTTTGTAGCTTCAAGGAAAGATTCACTGAAGGGTATCTTCAGTCAGGAATAATGAAAATGACCTGCGGTGAAGGCAGAGAGGAAGCAGGTGGGAAAAGAGTGCTTATCTTGTGTCTGCACCCGGAGAAGACAGGCCATTTGATCCGCAGAAGCATAGAGAGATTTCCATCAGAAACTGGCGGGAAAAAATCTGACATTTCCAGTGTTGAATTTTCTCTTTCCCTCTGTTTTGGGCCTGGAAGGAAAGCTGGGGGTTCCCAGGGGAACTCTATCAGTGGGATAACTGTTTCCTTAGAACTTTGGAAATGATGATCGGAAGTGCTCTACATTTTTCTATCACCTAATTAATGGTTAACCACGTTGGTGGTGCAGGGCATGGGGATATGTGGGGGGGGGGGGGGGGGGGAGTGGCTGCAGATAGAGTATTCTGTGCTCCTGTATCTGCTGGCTGTGTTGTGTTTGTTGCAAGTTTTTACCCCAAGCCCGGAAAGTTAAATTCCCTTTGGTGAAACTAGAGTTTTGCTTGATACAGAAACTCAGTTTCTAGTCAGTAGCTCTGAACAAGATAGTACCTAGGGAAAGGGGAAATGTAGTCACCCCAGTGCCCAAAGGCCACAGTTGGCCTGGTAGTGTTTGATCTAAATACTTCCATTACTGCTCATGTCTTGTGAGAGCCCCAGGAGGCCAGTCCCTCTTAGCTCATCATTATCGGGGAAGATTCATTAAGGGCTTGTGGCACATGGCAGAACCAAAGGAGGAGACCCATGGAAGTGTCAGGGTCACCGTGGAGTTCGACATTGAAGACAGAGCAGGGATGTGGATACCTCTATGCAGGTACCACACAGGGTAGTGTTAGCTGAAAACCTGAGTGGATGGTAAAGGCTTACAAACAGGCCCAGGATAAGTATACTTTGTAGGGACAAAGCTGGGTGGGACTTGTAAGAATCCACAGATTCTTCCTGGGTGGAGAGATGATAAAGATTGGGGAAAAATCACTTTCATGCGATTTTTTTTTTTTTTTTCCAAACCCAAATTGACTAGAGGCGAAAAGTTTCAGCTCCTCTTTGGTCAGCCTGGGAGGTCTTCCCAAACACATGGGGTTCCCCAGAAGGAAAGGGGTGATTAGGTGGATGGAGGGGAGCAAGAGATGGGGCTTTGAACAAGTGGGCTGAGCTCCAGCAAAAAGACAAGGGGGGGAAGATGATCCCCTTAGGGGAGAAGATCGTTGCGAGGTTACGTTTTGGATTTGGCCAGTACTTGGAAGAAAGCCCTTGTGGAGTCCGTAAACTT